GGGAGCTCTGCTCAGCCACAAGCCAGGCTGATGGCTGCCAGTACAGCGGTGGTGGTGGGAGCCTCTCCTGCCTCCTCAGCAGCGCTAAGGATGTCTGACTGCAGCTTAGGTCTGCATCCCCCGAGGGCTGCCAGGCTGCCAGAGGGATGTCTGATTGCCATCTTAGCCCCAATCCCCCGGGGAGCGGGCCTAAGCCAGCAGGTGGTCATCCCCTGAGGGGTCCCAGACTGTGAGAGGGCACAGGCCGGGCTGATTTTTTTTTCTAATTATTTTCCTTTCAATGTGCACAAATCTGTGCACCAGGCCACTAGTATATTAATACATAAGATTATATAATCTAAGTGCTCCTACTTAGAAAGTGCTCAACAATACATATTCATTATTAGCAGTAATAGATGACAAAAATATTTAAAATATTTTGCAGCTCCATTTTTAAACAGAAGTCTCAGAAGAGGTGTCCCTCATTTTCCTTTCTTTAAAAAAATGTTTTTTAAATTTATTGATGAGAGAGAGAGAGAGAGAGAGATCGAGATCTGTTGCTCCACTTGTTCAAGCGTTCATTGGTTGTTTCAGACCCAGGACCTTGGGTGTGAGGATGATGCTCTAACCAGTGGTTCTCAACCTTCTGGCCCTTTAAATACAGTTCCTCATGTTGTGACCCAACCATAAAATTATTTTCGTTGCTACTTCATAACTGTAATGTTGCTACTGTTATGAATCGTCATGTAAATATCTGATATGCAGGATGGTCATAGGCGACCCCTGTGAAAGGGTCGTTCAACCGCCAAAGGGGTCGCGACCCACAGGTTGAGAACCGCTGCGAGCTATCCAGCCAGGTCTCATTTTCCTTTTAAAACCATTTTGACACTTTCCTCTGGCAGGTATTCAGGGTCAAATTTCCAATCTTCTTTTCTTTCTCTATATCTCCCTCCTCCCAAATGTCTGTAGTTTTGAAATATTTGTCCCTTACATCTTCCTTCACTCATTCCTTCAACCGCCCAATGAGTACCTTTAAAGCACCTAATTTATGCAACGCACTGATGCTACGAAGATCTTAAAATTAATCAGACACAATCTTGCCCTAAAGAAGCGCAGTCTTCTCTAGCGAATGAACATACAGACACCAGGTTAAACTGGAATCTCAGGTAAACAACAAATAATTCGTTAGAAGTGTGTCCCGTGCAATGGGACACCATGCCTGGGAAGGCCTCTAGTGGAACATAAATGGAAAGAGAACGCACCAAGAGTCGTGGGACTATTTCTTAAAGACGCGGCTTCCATTCTGAGCGGACCGATGCATGAGGAAATGTATGCCCCGTGGTACTGATGTGGGTATCCCAGATGGAGAGCGCCCTCCATGCAGCTACCCTCCCGCCTTCCCACCGTGACCGCAGGGTGTCGCCACAGGCGCCCAGAGAAGCTGCTTCCCAGCCGTCTCCGCCTCCGCGCTTGCGCGGGCAGAGCGGGCGTGTGAGAGTGAGAGCACCGCGAGAGTTCAGAGCTGCTTGCGTTCCCCTAGCGACCGGCCGCGGACCGCAGGCGCGTCTCTCCGGGCGGAGCCCCTCAAGTGGCCTGGCCAGGGTTGGAGCGAGACCCCAGCCGCAGGCCGGGGTGCCTTCCAGGCAGAGGAGACGGATTCAGCGGGGCTCCAGGTAGGCGGCAGTCGGGGGACCGCTGCCTCTCTCCCGCCCGGGAGGAAGGAGGGGGACGCCCCTTCCCGCCGTCCAGGAGCCCCCGTGTTGCTCGTCTCCGTTACGGCTGCTCCTTGACTCCCTCCCTCCCGCCACTCACCATCATCCTGCTGCGTTTACGCCCCAAGAAACTGAGGGGGATTCGGCCTGCAAGACGGAGGTGGGGTGGAGGTGGGGGCGATGCTCCCGGGGTTATTGGACGGGACTGAGACGGGAGTGCCCCCGGCGCCCGGTCGACGAGGGAACCCCAGGGACAGGCCTCTTCTAGAGCCGGTACGGCCTCCCTGGGGAACCTCGCCAGCCTCGGGGGACGCACGGAGCCCGGGAGAGAGCCGCCCTCCCCCAGGAAAGCTATGCCCCTGCGGCGGGGCTTGTCCGTCTGGGGAGCTGGGGAGACGTCTGCTGCTGTTCCCGCCAGGCGCCTCCTCCTCGGCCAGCCTGGCCGCAGGCCCTACCAGGGCTGCCGCAGAGGGACTCCCTGCTGGACCTCGGGCCAGCAGGCCTGAAGGAGGGTGTGAAAGGGGGCGAAGTGGGTGTCGTGGGTAAGGAAGAGGATCAGTGCCCCTCTCCACGGCGTGCGTAGTGTCCGATCGTGTGTGCTCTGTAACCATGTCTCCTTTTGCTTAGACCAAGATTGTTGAAAACCAGACATATGATGAGCGTCTAGAGATTAACGACTCCGAAGAGGTGGCAAATATTTATACTCCAACCCCAAGATACAGAGGTAAGAGAGGAATGAAAAGGAAAGAAAGAAAACGGTCCTCAGAACAAAGAGCAGCTGGACCGATGACTGTCTCCAAGAAGTTTCTGTTTTGTAGTAGCAAATGTCCACGTTCAGAGCCAGGTTTCCTCACTTGCCATTGCTCCTGTGTTGTAACTAGTTAAGGGGGAAGAAAACACAGCCCCCAGGCTTCAGGGTCTTCCTCCAGCCTGATCAGTGTTCCCAACTGCCACTTACTTTAGGCTGCTGCTCTGCTCACCATCTGTCAGGGGCATGGTGTGTGTGTGTTTTAACTTATTAAAACTTTTGCTCATTTTTGAAGATGCTTCAGTAACCTGCCCTTAACCTGCAATCCCAATAAAAATATCAGTGGGATATTTTAAGAGGACCTGACACTGTCATTTATTCAACAATGCATTATATATATACTAGAGGCCCATTGCACGAATCTCTTCGTGCAATAGGCCTTCCCTTCCCCTGGATGCCGGCACCAGTTTTCCTCCGGCACCCGGGACCCAGGCCTTCGCTCTGGCTGGAGCCTTCAGTCTTCGCTCTGCCATTTCGCCCCTACTTATGCAAATTAACCGCCATCTTTGTTGGGTTAATTTGCATATTCTCCTGATTGGCTGGTGAGCGTAGTGGACGGATGATTAATTTACATGTTTGTCTATTATTAGGTAAGATATATATTATATATATATATATATATGTATATATATTGATTTCAGAGAGGAAGGAAGAGGGAGAGAGAGAGATAGAAACATCAGTGATGAGAGAGAATCATAGATCAGCTGCCTCCTGCACACCCCCTATTGGGGATTGAGCCTGCAACCCAGCCATGTGCCCTTGACCGGAATTGAACCTGGGACCTTTCAGTTCGCAGGTCGATGCTCTATCCACTGAGCCAAACCAGCTAGGGCCAGCAATGCATTTTTGAATGCATACTATGCATCAGCCTTATGCTCGGCACTGCACATACAGGTATTAAAAGACATTGATTCTGCCACCCTGAGGCTTGTAATCATGGGAGACATGACAAATGAATAAACGAACATACAAATGTGGTAAATGCATTGATGGAGGCAAAGAGCTTGATGTTAGGGAGAATAATGGTGAGGAGTGGGATCTATTTTTTAAAAACATATATTTTTATTGATTTCAGAGAGGAAAAGAGAGGGAGGGAGAGAGAGAAACGTCAATGATGAGAGAGAATCATTGATCAGCTGCCTCCTGCACGCCCCCTACTGGGGATTGAGCCTGCAACCTGGGCATGTGCTCTTGACCAGAATCGAACCCAGGACCCTTCAGTCTACAGGCTGATGCTCTATCCACTGAGCCAAACCGGCCAGGGCTGGGATCTACTTTTGATAGGGTATCAGGGATGGCCTAATGAGGTGACATTTGAGACTGAAAGATGGGGGGATCCAGACAGTGAGGAAAAGTAGGCCAGGAAAAAAGAACAGCAAATGAAATGTGAAAAGGCCCTGATGCCAGAAAGAAATTGAGTTTGAGGACTTGAAAGGGACCAGCATGAGGCGGGAAGGAGTGATATCAGAATAAACATGCTGGAGGGAGGCGGAGAGAGGCAGCAGCGGCAAGCAGAGCCCTGGAGGCTGTGCTACTGCCCTAGAATGGGTGGAAAGGTGAAAGGAGGAAGCAGTTGGAAGGACTGTTGCAATGGCTGAGTTGAGGTGATAGTGGCTTGTATGTTGTGAGGAAGCTGAGAATAAAGAGAAGAAAAATCACTAAAACTTGTCCGGCCGGTGTGCTCAGTGGTTGAACATCAACCCATGAACCAGGAGGTCATGGTTTCATTCCCAGTCAGGGCACATGTCTGATTTGCGGGCTTGATCCCCAGTGTGGGGGATGTGTAGGAGGCAGCTGATCAGTGATTCTCTCTCATCATTGATGTTTCTGTCTCTCTCCCTTTCCCTGCTTCTCTCTGAAATCAATAAAAAATATTTTAAAAATCACTAAGACTTGATTATGGATTGGATTTGGCTTTTGAGTTAGGAACAAAGGGTGACATTTAGGGTTGTTTGTTTTTTGTGGTAAATGCCGTATACCTAATATAAAATTTACCATTTTAACCCTATTTTAAGTATATAATTCAGTGGCATGAAGTAAATCCATATTGCATAGCTATCTCACTATCTATTTCCAGTTCTTTTGCACCATCCTGAATAGAAACTGTACCCATTAAATAATAACTCCCCATCTCCCTCTACCTCCCAGCTCCTGGTAGCCTCTATTCTTCATTGTCTCTATGAATTTGCCTACTCTAGGTACACATAAGTGGAATCTTACAATATTTGTTCTTTTGCGTCTGGCTTATTTCACTTAGCATAGTGTTTTCAAGATTCATTCATGCTATAGCATGTGTTAGAATATCCTTATTTTTTATGGCTGAATAATATTCCTTTGTCTATATAAACACATTTTGTTTATATATCCATCTGCTGTTAGACATTTACTTTATTTACATCTTTTGGCTATTGTGAATTTGTGAATATGCTGCAATGAATATTAGCGTACATGTATCTGAGTCAATGCTTTTAATCTTTTGGAGATATATATATACCTGGACTCCCAGGTTTTTGACTCAACCATGTTTTTAATCATGCTGGCTGTGGGCATGATAAATTCATTTTCATTTTGAGTAATTCAGTAGGCTGGAAAATGGTGTTTAATAGGCATTTATTTGATTTAGAAATCATGCCAGTTAATATCTTACATCTGGTTAATTATTCAGAATATTTTTATTGCTTTATGGGCACTTATTCAGATTTATTTTTTAAAATATCTTTTTATTGATTTTTAGAGAGAGGAAGGGAGAGAGATAAATAGGAATGTCAATGATAAGAGAGAATTATTGATCGGCTGCCTCCTGCATACCCCCTATTGGGGATCAAGCCCACAACCTGGCATGTGCCCTGACCAGGAATCAAACTGTGACCTCTTGGTTCATGGATCGACACTCAACCACTGAGCCACACGGGTCAGGCTGATTCAGATTTATATTTGTGATTAATATTTGACAGGAGCTGGGTCCGTTTCTTTCATCTAAGTTCTTTCATTTGATCCTTACAACAGTCCTGAGTGAGAGGTATTACGGACCTCGTTCAGAGGTAGGAATACTGAGACCCAGAGAAGGGGTCATTTTGTCCAAGTGATAGAATGTCCTCCAAACTCAGTATTTTGAGTATAAATCCAGTACTCTTTCCACTTTATTAATTACTAACCTCATTTCATCAATGTGTATGTAAACTAATGGCAGATTTTATACTATTTATGTAACAGCAAATAATCAGTTAGTATAATGTCTAACCCAGTGCCTTAAGCACAGAAATGCTTAGTAAATACATGTTTGAATTGAATTGACAGAGCCATGGCTAGGGTTCAGTCTCCTATCTTTTAGCTAGATGCTCATATAAACTGTGGTCAGATTATAAAATATTATAAACTAGAAATTATTTGTCCTTAAAAATTCTTTTAACAATAACCTAAAGGGAAAACTTTTCTTTTAAGGACTTGCTCGTTCTGCCCATCTTCCAAACAAGGCTATGGCTGATAACAGCAGTGATGAGTATGAAGAGGAAAATAACAAGGTGCAGTATAGCCCACAGCTTCTCCTGCTTTGATTGTTTAGTAGTTACAATTGACACCAGTTCAGTAGTAAGCATTTCTTGGATGGTCACCTCCAGTGGTCTGGTGCCTTTGAGCTCATGGAGGATAATCAGGAAGAAAAAAACGTAAGATTTTTGACTCTCCTTTGGAATAAAGACTACTATTACAGCTGACTTTTTAAAAAGATTTTTAGAAATTGAGTTTTAGACAGAAAGGAAGGGAGAGAGAGAAACATTAATCGGCTGCCTCCTGCACTCCCCCTACTGGGAATCGAGCAGGTAACCCTGGGGATGTGCCCTGACTGGGAATCGAAACTGCAACCTTTCTATGTAGGGACAGCGCCCAACCAACTGAGCCACATCAGCCAGGGCTACCGCTGACTTTCTGGTGAGGAATTTCATATAATACAGGCCAGTGTTTGCAAACTTTACTGATCATAAGAATCAACTGGAGACACTTAATTTTTAAAATGCAGATTCCCAGTCCCCATCTAGAAACACCAAATCAGAGTCTTGAAGGTAAAAGCATGGGGGTTTATATTTTTAGCAAGCACTCCAAGTAATTTTCTTTCTTTTCTTTTTTTTAAAATATATTTTTATTGATTTCGGAGAGGAAGGGGAGAGGGAGCGAGAGATAGAAACATCAGTGATGAGAGAGAATCATTGATCGGCTGCCTCCTGTATGCTCCACACTGAGGATCAAACCCACAACCGGGAATTGAACCATGACCTCCTGGTTCATAGGTCAGTGTTCAACCACTGAGCCACGCCAGCCAGGCCCAAGTAATTTTCTTTATAAAGCAAGTTTGGAGTCATTGTTTTAGGCATTTGTTTATTGTCAATATTTTGTGAAAGAGACTTTAATTTTGAAGTCTTAAGACCCAGATGTTACTTTATTGTTGTTCTATGAACTGTTTCTGAGAGAAAGACAGAAAGATGCCTACAGCTCTAAGCCAGGTGAGGCCTGAAAGTTGCGCGTGTGCTCTTTTAGCACCATTGTGTTCAGCCTTAGCCTGTGGTCCACTGGTCACAGGTTAGCTGTCCGTGAGGAGCAAGAGCCTTCACAGCTCTATGAGAGGGAACATTTGAAGCAGCGCAGAAGCTTTGGTGATATAGACTGATTTCGTAAAAGGCCCGAGAGGTGCCATTTTAATGTAGCCCCACTTTGTGAGTAGTGTGCTGTGTTTTTAATAGTGTGCTGTGTTAACATCTAACCCACAGAGTCAGTTTTCAGGTATTTGTATAATGCTATGTTATAAAAAAATATCCAAGGCCATGTATAATAAATCTGTGTTGTGCTGTGACCAAAAGAAGTTTTTGTGTTTGTGTGTGTTTAAATAATTTTTTATTGATTTCAGAGAGGAAGGGAGAGGGAGAGATAGGAACACCAATGATAAGAGAGAATCATTGATCTGCTGCCTCCTGCATGCCCCACACTGAGGATCGAGCCCACAACCCAGCATGTGCCTTGAGCGGGAATTGAACTGTTACCTCCTGGTTCATAGGTTGATGCTCAATCACTAAGCCATGCCAGCTGGGCCCAAAAGCAGTTTTTGATGTCCTTTAATGTGTCACAATTTTATGTGCCAGTAGCTGCTTTACCATGAAAGAAATCTACAATAATAAAAGGATAATGTGCTCGTTAGACCGGACGTCCTTCCGGACAAAGCCGGGGGCCAGAGGGAAGCTACCCAGGTCTCAGGTGCCGGAGGGAAGCCGGTGCCAGCAGCCAGGGGAAGGAAGGCCTACTCTTGCACGCATTTTCATGTATCGGGCCTCTAGTGTTATATAATTTAAAAACTAGAACCAAAATCTATTAACCTTAGTATAAGCCATATAGCATTTGGAAACCAAGCTTTCAAAATCTACTTTTAAAGGGGGCCAGTTGGTCATCCGTCAGGTCCTAAGTGAGGGCACTTTTCAGGCTCCAGGCCACAGAGGCAAAGATATGGACCCCATCCCAACTGCCCCTCCAAGCTCCAAGCACCATCAGACCCCTTCTCATGGCCTTGAGAGGGTGGGATGGTACAGAGAGAACCTGAAGCTCAGAAAGATAGGTTGTAATGCCAATAACAGAAGAGTCTCTTGAGATACAATGCATAGTCGTTGCATTTTTTGTATTTAAAAAATTATTGATTGATTGATCTTAGAAAGAGAGAGACATTGATTTGCTGCTCCACCTATTAGTTCATTCTTATATGCTCCCTGACTGGCAATTGAACCTGCAGCCTGGGTGTATCAGGACGATACTCTAACAACTGATCCACCCAGCCAGGGCCTAATCCTTGCATCTAACTTAAGGGGGAAGGGAAGGGAAATTTGGATCAGTTAGATACCCTTTGAAGAGAATGGAAACAGAATACCTGTAGTCTCTGGAACTGCTGATCAGAATTCAGGCACAGAGTTGGTCATGAACTTTCTTCTTTTGATAGTTACAAGCAGCTTACTCTGGGCAGTCTTGCAAATTAAATACTAGATTTCCTCCTTAGGACCTCTGAATATTAAGATCCCCTAAAGTTTGTCTTCACACTTCACTTTTCCTCATTTCCTTCCAATATAACAATTTAGAGGTGCCTTTCTCCAAAAGTCCCCAAGTTTTAGGGTTGAATCTACTGGGTAGTTTATGCAGAGGTCTCAGGGTCTCCTAAGTAACAGGTCAGATAGATATATATTGGATAAAATTTATGCCTTAACCTCAAGCAGAGAACTAGAATATGGTTATAGAAAGTGGGGACCAGTGTGTAGTCAGCAGGAGCAGATGGTCTCGAGGCCTTTCGGGGACTGCTGCCTTCTCTCTGATGTGGCGCCAGGAAGGAGGGACGGGTTAGAGTCCTGGGAGAAAACGACATGGGTTCACACCCGTTTCCTTACCTGGATCTCTCTCGCCTGCTGTGCCCTCTCCCAGGAGAAGAAGAAGACCTTGCAGCTGACGCCTCAACAAGGCTTTAGTGAAAATGACGATGATGATGATGACTCATCAGAAACGGATTCGGATGAAGATGATGATGATGAAGAGCACGGAGCCCCGCTAGAAGGGTGAGGAAAGCACCTTCTTCAAAACATGGACTAGGAGGGTATCAGTTAAAAGTGAAGTTCCAGCATCTCTTTTGATCTCTATTTAGGATTTCTGTGTGTCTCAGAAACCCAACAGAATGAGTTTTCATTCTTTTCTGATCCACTGCCTCACTGAGTCTCAATGTCACTTGCACTGTCGGAAACATTTGTGGACTCGGGTCATGTGGATTCGCTGAGCAAATCCAAAAGATGGTCCCTGACTTCGGGGAGTTCACATTCTGGGGCAAAATAAAGTTATGTACATACCAAAGCATTTCTATTTAGCAAGGAAGCACACGTGCACAGGAGTAGAAAACTCTAAGCTCAGATCCTTTATGGACAGGTTCTTCAGGGCCCACATGAGGCAAAACGTTCCTGAATGATGCTTAAGTACAAAACCTCTCGCCCTGTTCCAAACCCTGTTGTTAGATTAGTCATGACCCATCCCTATAGGTTTTAATCAAAGTGGATTCTAAGACCCATCCATTTAAAATATAATTACCAGTTAAATAAATGATGATATAACCAGTCAGTGGAACGTTATCTAGCCCTGGAAAACAATGAGGTAGCACTCTTTGCACTGGTAAAGAACAGTCTCCAGGCCCTTGCTGGTGTGGCTCAGTGGCTAGAGCGCCGGCCTGCGGACTGAAGGGTCCCAGGTTTGATTCCACCCAAGGGCACGTACCTCGGTTGCAGGCTCAATCCACAGCCCTGATTGGGCGTGTGCGGGAGGCAACCAATTGATGTATGTGTCTCACATCCATGTTTCTCTCTCTCTGTCTCCCCTCCTCCCTTCCATTCTCTCTAAAAATCATTGGAAAAATATCCTTGGGTGAGGATTAAAAACAAAAAAGAGAACAATTTCCAAGTGATACTATTAAATTTTTAAAAGGTATAGAAGTGTTCATGCTTTGCTACCATGTGTATAAAACAAACATTACATAGACTATGTGTAGGATACACTAGAAATTAATAATAGTGATTACTCTTGGAAGGAGAACTTGGTGGCAAGGGGACAGGTGTGGAAGGGAGACAACTTTTCATTGTATGCATTTTGTACCTTTTATTTTGTATCACATGCATATATCATTTATTAAAGTAGTTAAATAAAAATAAAAATAGTTACCTTACCTTTGCATTATCCACCTGCAGGTTGACATTAATTAAATGAAGCAAATGTTTAATACCATACTAACTTTTCATGCTTCCCAACTTACTTCCCTAATTATAATTAGGGAAATGTAAACTTTAAGTCATTAATCTACTTAATTTTTTATTAAGCAACTCTCCCCAGAACGACTTTATTAATAACTTTCAGGTAATTATATGCTTTGTCAATGTTCATTGCATTTTACTTAATTATAATTAATATATATTCTATTTTTTATTGTATACATTTCATGTGTCAATACAACTATTTTGTTGTTGTTGTTGTTCCTCACCTGAGGATATTTTCCCATTGATATTTAGACAGAGTGGGAAAGGGGGAGAGACAGAGAGAAACATGGATCTGAGAGAGACACATTGATTGGTTGCCTCCTGCACTGCCCAGATTAAGGCCGGGATCCAGTCTGTAACCAAGGTACGTGCCCTTGACTGGAATCAACCCTGGGACCCCTTAGTCCGAGGGCTGACGCTCTATCCACTAAACTAAACCAACTAGAGCCAAGTATTTTTTAGTAACCATGCAATATTCAACTTGAACATACCTAACCATTACTCGACTGTTGGATATTTTGTTTCTAATTTTTTACTTCTATAAATAATACTGTGCGCTCTCCCCCCTCCTGGCGCTCACCCCAAAGTGGGGCTTCCTTTCCCGCGAGGGGGGGTTCCAACCCCGCGGGCGCGGGGCGGTGTTCCAGGCGGGCCGGGCCGCCCCTCCCATGGCGTGACCGCTCCCCGACCCCAGTGCGCCCCAGGCGAAGTCGCGCCGTCAAAAAAAAAAAATAAATAAATAATAATAATAATAATACTGTGAAAAACATCTTTATAAAAATAACTTATTTTCTTGAGGCAAATTATTTTCATGCCAGAAATTAAAATCTCATTCTATCTTTTCTCTTTATCCCTTTCATTCAAAAAGGGGAGGCCCAGCTGATGTGGCTCAGTGGTTGAGCGTTAACCTATGAACCAGGAGTTGACAGTTTGACTCCTGGTCAGGGCACATGCCTAGGTTGCAGGCTCGATTCCCAGTAGGGGGCATGCAGGAGGCAGTTGATCAATGATTCTCTCTCATCAGTGATGTTTCTGCTATATTCTAAAATGTTTAAAAATTATGTTTTGGATTTTCTGCAGCTCTGTTCTTTATTGTCAGAGATAACAAAGCTAATTTTAATAAATTTTATTTATTTATTTTTTTCTTCTTCTTTCAAATATATTTTATTGATTTTTTTTTTTTTTTTTTTTTGGGTCCCCAGTGGCTGGCAGCTGCTGGCCAGGTACTCCCTCCCTTCCCCTGGCCACCTGTCGCCACCGGGACCTCCCTTCCTTTTCCCGGCCAGTCCTGCCCCCTGGTTGAACTCCCAGAAGAACTCCCGGTTGAGGGGACAATTTGCATACTATGCTTTTATTATTTAGGATAGTTTTAAAAATATTTTATTTTTATTGTTCAGAGAGGAAGGAAGTGGGAGAGAGAGAGAAACATCAGTGATGAGAGAGAATCACTGATCGGCTGCCTCCTACACCCCCCGCACTGGGGATCAAATCCACAACTCAGGCATATGCCCCTGACTGGAATCAAACCCATTCTGTAGGCCAATGCTTTATTCACTGAGCCAAAACAGCTAGGGCTAATTTTTTTAAAAAATATATTTTATTGATTTTAGAGAGGATGGGAGAGGGAGATAGAAACATCAATGATGAGAGAGAATCATTGATTGGCTGCCTCCTGCACGCCCCCCTACTGGAGATCAAGCCCGCAACCCCGGCATGTGCCCTTGGCCGGAATCGAACCTGGGACTCTTCAGTCCGCAGGCTGACGCTCTATCCACCGAGCCAAACCAGCTAGGGCCAGCTAGGGCTAATTTTAATAAATTTTAAATTTGCCTTGCAAACCACCCAGGAAAGGCAGATGTGGGTGGAGCATAATCTAGGTTTTGAGTCCAGTGCCCAATGAGTGTAGTAGCACAGGGGCTGAACCAGGGCTGGGCGGCATCTGCTCCTCTCTGGGTGGAATCATATGTTTCTTTCCCCAGGGCCTATGATCCTGCCGATTATGAGCATTTGCCAGTTTCTGCTGAGGTTAAAGAACTCTTCCAATATATAAGTAGGTGAGTATTAGGTCTTCCTACCATAGCCCCCTGGCCCTACCTTGCCCTTTCCTGCCTCTAGTCTGAAACAAGGCCATTCTCCTTAGATTTTTAAAACCTAAATAGTAAAGTAAGTTTCTGTTTCCATCTTCCCTTGGCATTATCTCCTAGGTATACACCTCAGTTGATTGACCTGGACCACAAACTGAAACCTTTCATTCCTGATTTTATCCCAGCTGTTGGGGATATTGATGCATTCTTAAAGGTACAGTCAGAACATCCTAAACATGAGTCCAGAGGTGTTTCTTCTGACACCTCTATTACTCTACCAGTTCCACTAATTTTCTTGACAAGCATTGGCTACCTTGATATATACCCTTCATTTCATTAGAATTCTTAACCTTGCTCTCTACTCCATGTTATATTCATTGCAATTCTGTAGTACTTGATTATCTCATTGTATGTTAAAAATTGTCATATATTTGCCGCCTCATTATCCATGACTTCAGCTTTCTATTTAAGGTCCTGTAGATCATGTATGTTTTCTTTTTCTTTTTCTTTTTTTAAATATATTTTATTGATTTTTTACAGAGAGGAAGGGAGAGGGATAGAGAGTTAGAAACATCAATGAGAGAGAAACATTGATCAGCTGCCTCCTGCACACTCCCTACTGGGGATATGCCCGCAACCAAGGTACATGCCCTCTTAAAATATATTTTATTGATTTTTTACAGAGAGGAAGGGAGAGGGATAGAGAGTTAGAAACATCAATGAGAGAGAAACATTGATCAGCTGCCTCCTGCACACTCCCCACTGGGGATGTGCCCGCAACCAAGGTACATGCCCTTGACCGGAATCGAACCTGGGACCCTTGAATCCGCAGGCTGACGCTCTATCCACTGAGCCAAACTGGTCAGGGCTCATGTATGTTTTCTAGGTAGGATTTTAGTGCAGTATGGCAGACAGGCATGCTTTTTGATACTAGTAGCAGTGATGAAGCAGAATAGTTCTTCCTCTTGAGCTTATTGAAAACAAGATGCATGGCCTTTTTATGTCTCTCTCATTTTTTTCTCTGTTTTCTCACTTTTCTCTTACCCAGGTCCCACGTCCTGATGGGAAGCCTGACAACCTTGGCCTCTTGGTATTAGATGAGCCTTCTACAAAGCAGTCAGACCCTACAGTACTCTCACTCTGGTTAACAGAGAATTCTAAACAGCACAACATCACAGTAAGATGCTAGTATAGTACAGGCCCAACGGGAGAGGGCCAGAGTGGAGGCCTTGTTGGTGTGTATATGGTTGATTTATTGCCTACTAGAAGTGATGGCTGTGGTTTCAGGACAGTCCTATTTTTTACATAACAGTTTTATTGAGATATAATTTACCTACCATAAAATTCACCCTTTAAAATTGTACAGTTTAGTGATTTTTAGTATATTCACAGAACTGTAGAAGCATCATCATCTAAGAACATTTTCATCATTCCAGAAAGAAACCGTGTACCCATTAGTAGTCACTCCTCATTTCCCCCTGCTCCTAGAATCTGGTAACTGCTTCATTTTTTTTTTTAATGGCTGAACACAATTCCGTTGTATGGAAACTTCACATTTTGTTTATCTACTCACCAGTTGTTTCCACTTTTCTTAATTATGCTGCCGTGAAGATGTACAAGTTTCTGCATGGACACATATTGTTATTTCTCTTGGATATATATGTAGGAGTGGGATTACTAGGCCATATGGTATCTGTTTAGTATTTTGAGGAACTGCCAAACTGTTTTCCAAAGTGGCTGAATCATTTTACAATGCTACCAGTGATGAATGAAAGTTACAATTTCTCCACATCCTCATCAGCACGTGCTACTCTCTTTTTCACTGTAGCTATCCCAGTAGGTGTGAAATGATGTGTTATTATGGTCAGTCCTATCTTATTGACCTTCTCCTTTCCCAGGGCTCTAGAAAGTTTTATCAGGGTTTTCTATAATCTTCATTTGGCTGCCATGAAGCCTCCCTTTTCATCAGCTACTTTGTGTGTGAAATAGCAGCAGCATATGATGAGTCACTCTGTGAAAACGAGAGCTACTTCAGTGCCACGTGTCAGGCTTTCCCCTTGATTTTCTAGCAACACATGAAAGTAAAGAGCCTGGAAGATGCAGAAAAGAATCCCAAAGCCATTGACACATGGATTGAGAGCATCTCTGAGTTGCATCGTTCTAAGCCCCCTGCAACTGTACACTATACCAGGTAAGAAATGCTACCTTCTTCACCACTGTAACCCATGGCAACCTTCACCATGTGGAAACCCATTGCTTTTGAGAAGAGGGCCCAAAGGCTGGGGACATATTTGATCAACCTGAGGTCCTATAGATCATGGCAGCTACTGGCTGAGATTGCAGACAGAGATTGTGATTTATCTGGTATTACTTAGCCAGCTTCTCCAAACCCCAGGTCCAGGGTAGGTTTGATATGCCCAGTCTGTGTTCTCTGGAAATCCTAATGTGCCAGATCGAGGACCTCTCTTCATCCTAAATATCCTGACCCAGAGATTGCTGATGTCACTTGTCCATGTTTTTTGTTCATATTTACCTCTCTACTCTTAGACCCATGCCTGATATTGACACACTGATGCAGGAATGGTCCCCAGAGTTTGAGGAGCTTTTGGGCAAGGTGAGTGGAAGGTAGCAGGAGCTAAGAAAGTATGGCATTCACTCTAGGGCCCAGTGTATTCTCTCTTCCTATATCATTATCATTATTAGCTTATTAATTGAGGTAAATTACATAATCAGAAAGGTACACATACTAATTTTCACAGCTGAACACCTATGTGTAAATCAACACATTAGATAAAAAAGCAGAACATTGCTAGCAACCTAGAATTCCCCTCATGCTCAGACATCCCAACATAACCACTATCCTGATTTCTTTTTTCTCTTCCTTTCTTTTTCTTTTCTGTCTTTTTTCTTCCTAATTTCTAATTCCATAGATTAGGTTTGCCTATTTTGTATTTTATCTAAATGTAATTGAACTCTTTTGTGTCCTATTTCTTTTGCTCATCTATATTGTTCATCCATGTGAAGATTCATCAATATTGTTTCCTACATTGTTGTCCTTTTTTTCTCATTACTGCATGATACTACATTGTTTGAATATGTGACAGTTTACTTATCCATTCTATGGTAGCCATTTGGATAGTTTCCAGTTTTGGGATATTATAAATGAAATATTATTACAATATTATGTTAATATTTCTAAGAACATTGTAACATATACCTATAAACATGTATATATATTTCCTGTATTATTACTTTAGACTCTACTTTTCCACAGAGATATTTATGCTATTCTTAAGTACCCCAAATTTCAAAAATACAGGAATAGAACAATCAGACTGCAGGCAGAGGCAGATCTCTGGAGGCTTTGAGTCTTTGCCTGATCTCCTTCTGGGCTCAGGGATAGGAAAAGCAGAGCCTGGTGCATACCTTGGTCCTTTCCAAAAGCACCCAGCCCCAGCAGAGGGAGCCACAAGCTGTGGATTGCTGATAGCTCCAAACAGGGGACTCAGGGCCAATCAGAAACAGTGTCTGACATTGTTCTGGGCTAGAGATTGGGCATTGTAGCAGATCTACCTAATACATAGATACAAATTCAAACAGACAGCCAAAATGGGGAGACAAAAAAACAACCCTCAAATGAAAGAACAAGAGAATTCTCCAGAAGAAGCACTAAACGAAATGAAGATAAGAAACTTATCAGGGTATCTGTTTTGTGTGTGTTTTTAACCGGGATATGACGCACTAAAGGACCCGACGGAAATAGAACTGAAAGCGTTCTAAAATGGCGAACCGCACGGTGAAGGATGCCCACAGCATTCACGGCACCAACCCGCAGTATCTGGTGGAGAAGATCATTCGGACTCGAATCTATGAGTCCAAGTACTGGAAAGAGGAGTGCTTTGGCCTTACGGCTGAACTTGTAGTTGATAAAGCCATGGAGTTAAGGTTTGTTGGTGGCGTCTATGGTGGCAACATACAGCCAACTCCCTTTCTGTGTTTGACCTTGAAGATGCTTCAGATTCAACCAGAGAAGGATATCATTGTTGAGTTTATAAAAAATGAAGATTTCAAGTATGTACGCATGTTGGGAGCACTTTATATGAGGCTGACAGGTACTGCAATTGATTGCTACAAATACTTGGAGCCTCTGTACAATGATTATAGAAAAATTAAGAGCCAGAACCGAAATGGAGAGTTTGAACTGATGCACGTAGATGAGTTCATTGATGAACTACTACTACACAGTGAGAGAGTCTGTGATATCATTCTGCCCCGGCTACAGGTAAGAGATAAAAGTCTCATATGTGAGTCACTCCCCCCTAATAGAGGACATGGATGATGTCGAGTCCAGTGAGGAAGAGGAAGAAGAGGATGAGAAGTTGGAGAGAGTACCATCACCTGATCACCGCCGGAGAAGCTACCGAGACTTGGACAAGCCCCGTCGCTCTCCCACACTGCGCTACAGGAGAAGTAGGAGCTGGTCTCCCAGAAGGCGGAGTCAGTCTCCAAAAAGGAGGAGCCCTTCCCCTCGCCGAGGGAGGCATCGGAGCAGGTCCCGAGATAGACGGCACAGATCCCGCTCCAAGTCCCCAGGTCATCACCGTAGTCATAGACACAGGAGCCACTCAAAATCTCCTGAAAGATCTAAGAAAAGCCACAAGAAGAGCTGGAGAGGAAATGAGTAATGGACTCAGTTTAGGTTTAGTCCAAAGAGCCTCCTGCAAATATGAAGTCATCTCTCTATGTGGAAGGACTAAGATCTACTCCCACGGCAGCTATAAGAATATTTTAGGGTGTTTTTGTTTTTTAACCTTACAGTAGAGTAGTGACCTTGGAATGGAGATAACAAACGCCCTAACCTTTGGAATAGAATGGAATCCATACTTGAGGGATAATGCTCCCCAAGGGCTGCTTTTGATCCCTTGTACAACAAACACTGAGGATTTGGGAAGTGGAGGGTATGTATGACAAGGAGAGGATATGGCGGCCTAGTGATCCTTTTGTTATTAAATTTAACATTCCAAAAAAAAGAAAGAAACTTATCAGATAGAGAGTTCAGAATAATAATGGCAAAGATGCTCAACAGCATGAGGAAAGGTATAGCAATTGTGAAAAAAGACCAGAGGTCTTTAATCTGGCACATTAGGATTTCAGGAGAACACAGACTGGGCAAACCAAACTTACACGGGGTCTTGAAAATGAAGAATGAGATAGCACTAATAACATTGGAGCTTGGCCAACATGGCTCAGTGGTTGAGTGTCAACCTATGAACTAGGAGGTTACAATTCAATTCCTGGTCAGGGTGCATGCCCAGGTTGCAGGCTCAATCCTCAATAGGGAGTGTGCAAGAGGCGGCCAATCAATGACACTCTCACATCGATGTTTCTATCTCCCTCTCTCTCTGAAATCAATAAAAATATATTTTTAAAAAAAGAACACATTGGAAGGAATACACAACAGATTAGGAGAAACTGAGGATTGGATCAGTAAATTAGAAGACAGGGAAGAGGTGGTTAGGGGCAATCAGGCAGGCAGAGGCGGTTAGGGGCGATGAGGCAGGCAGGCAGAGGTGGTTAGGGGTCATCAGGCAGGCAGGCAAGCAGTTAGGGGCAATCAGGCAGGCAAGCAGGGACGATCAGGCAGGCAGGCAGAGTGGTTAGGGGCGATCAGGCAGCCAGGCAGAGGGAGGGTTTAGGGGTGATGAGGCAGGCAGGCAGAGTGGTTAGTGGTGAGCAGGCAGGTAGGCAGGCAAGTGGTTAGAGCCAGTGGTCCTGGATTGTGAGGGGGATGTCCTACTGCCAGTTTGGGTCCTGCGGGATTGGGCCTAAACTGGCAGTCGGACATCCCCCGAGGGGTCCCGGATTGCGAGAGGGTGCAGGCTGGACTGAGGGACCCCCCCTCCTTCGTGCACGAATTTCGTGCACCGGGCCTCTAGTATTCGTATAATAGGTATGCCAGAAGGAGAGAAAAGTGAGCAAGAGATAAAGAATGTGTTTGAAGAAATAATGGCAGAAAACTTCCCTAACATGGTGAAGGAAAAAGTCACACAAGTTTAGGAGGCACAGAGAGTCCCAAGCAAAAAGAATCCAAACAGGCCCACACCCAGGCACATCATAATTAAAATTCCAAAAATTAAAGACAGAGAATCTTAAAGGCAGAAGAGAAAAGTAATTTGTTATCTACAAAGGAACTCCATAAGGCTGTCAGCTGATTTCTCATGAGAAACTCTACAGGCCAGAAGGGACTGGCACGGTGTACTCAAGATAATGAAAGCAAGGATCTGAAACTAAGATTACTATATCCAGCAAGGCTGTCATTCAAAAATAGATGGTGAAATAAGAGCTTCCCAGACAAAAAAAGGCTAAAGGAGTTTATCACAACTAAACCAGCACTGCAAGAAATTCTAAAGGGACTGCTGTAATGAGAAGAAGAAATAGAGCCCTAGCCAGTTTGACTCAGTGGATAGAGCATCGGCCTGTGGACCTAAGGGTTCCAGGTTCAATTCTGGTCAAGGGCATGTACCTCAGTTGCAAGCTCCTCCTGGCCCTGGTCAGGGCATGTGCAGGAGGCAACCAATCGATGTGTTTCTCTCACATTGATATTTTTCTCTTTCCCTCTCTCTTCCACTCTCTTTCTCTAAAAATTAATGGAAAAATATCCTCGGGTGAGGATTAGCAAAATAAATAAAATAGAATCTTAAAAAAGAGATAGAGGTAGATATAAACAAGTGGAAGAATATACTGTGTTCATAGATTGGAATAATTAACATAATTAAAATGTCTATACTACCCAAAGCAATCTACAGATTCAACACAATTCCTATTATAATACCAATGGCATACTTCACAGAGCTAGAACAAATATTCCAAAAATTTATATGGAACCATAAAAGACCCCATATAACTGCAGCAATCTTAAAGAAGAATGAAGTAGGAGGGATCACAATACCATATAGCAAACTATACTACAAAGCCATTATAACCAAAATAGCCTGGTACTGGCACAAGAACAGGCATATAGACAAATAGATCACAACAGAGACCACAGAAATTGGCCCACACCATTGCAGTCAATTAATATTTGACAAAGGAGGCAAGAACAAACAAGTAAAGACAGTCTCTTCAAAAAATGGTGCTGGGAAAACTGGACAGACACATTCAAAAAATGAAGCCAGACCATCATCTTGCACCAGACACAAGAATAAACTCAAGGTGCATAAAAGACCTAAATGTGAGGCATGAAACCATAAAAGTCTTAGAAGAAAATATAGACAGTAAAATCTCAGACATCTCACATAGCAATATGTTTATGGATATATCTCCTAGGGCAGCAGTTGCCAACCAGTGGTCTGTGAGGTCCAAAAGGTTGGCAACCGCTGGTTTAAGGAAACCTTTGAAGCAGCGGTCACCAAACGGTGGTCTGCACACCACTAGTGGTCCGTGAGATCTGAAAGGTTGGTGACCGCTGTCCTAGGGCAAAGGAAACTAAGGAAAAAATAAACAAATGGGACTACATCAAAATAAGTTTCTGCACAGCAAAAAAACACAAACCATTAAATTGAAAAGGGAACCCACTGAATGGGAGAACATATTTGTCAATGATACATTTGCTAAAGGGTTAATACTCAAAATATATAAAGTATTCATACAACTCAACAAAAAGAAGACAAACAATCCAATTAAACAATGGGCAGAAGACCTGAATAGACATTTCTCCAAAGAGGACATACAAATGCCAAGAGACACGTGAAAAAGTGCTAAAAGTCACTAATCAGAGAAATGCAAATTAAAACCACAATGAGATACCACCTCACACCGGTCAGAATGGCTATCATAAAAAAAAATTAACAAGTGCTGGTGAGGATGTGGAGAAAAAGGAACACTAGTTCACTGCTGGTGGGAATACAGATTGGTGCAACCACTATGGAAAACAGTATGGAGTTTCCTCAAAAAATTAAAAATGCAACACCATTTTAAATTTGATCCAGTGATCCCAATTCTGGGAATATATCCTAAAAACCACAAAACACCAAACAAAGAATATGTGCACCCCTATGTTCATAGCAGCATTATTTACAATAGCTAAGATTTGGAAACAGCCCAAGTGCCCATCAGCAGATGAATGGATAAGGAAGCTGTGGGACACTTACACCATGGAATACTGAGCAGCTGTAAAAAAGAGGGATCTCTTACCCTTTGGGACAGCATGGAGGGACCTGGAGACTATTATGCTAAGTGGAATAAGCCAAACTGAGAAAGACAAATGTCACATGATCTCACTTATTTGTGGAATCGAATGAACAAAATGAATTGACCAACAAAATAAGACCTGAAGCAGGGAGGCATGGAGCAGACTGACATACCTCGATGTGGGGTTGGGGGGATAATAAGAGATAAACCAAAGAACTTCTGTACTTTCATGCACAGCCCATGGACCCGGGCAATAGGGTGGTGAAGACCTGGGGGTGGGTAGGGGCTGGGAGGAGGGGCATAAGGAAGATATCAGTAATACTGTTAACAATTAAAAATATATTTTTTAAAACCCTGCAACCCAGGTACATGTGTTTCACCAGGAATTGAACCCGAGACCCTTTGATGTGAGGGCCAGTGCTCCAACTACTGAGTAATGCCAGCCTGGGCTGACACCTTGATCTTAAATTTCTAACCTCCAAACTGAGAAGATAAATTTCTCTTTTTTTAAGCCACCCAGTTTGTGATATTTCGTAATGGCAACCCTAGCACACTAATAATACATCACCAAGAATTTAAATGACCAAGTATTTTTAACCCACAGATAAATGCCTACCAATAAGAATAGAAAATAATCACTTTAGGAATCTTGCAAATAATTTACTAGAAAATCATAAACTGATTCTATACATAGTAGCAAATAGAATGACCAATGGGTCTGGATGCTTTAATGACTACACCATGGTTGAATTGACTGCTTCCAAACTGGACCACATTCACAGTTATCATGCTAATCACTATCCATGGATTGGGACTAAGCCCAGAAGAGACACAGGGAACCACACTTCCTCTGGGCACCACACTACCTCTAGTCTTGGCCTGATGGGGCTTTCTGCTTCCGAAGAGATACTTAGGGGCATCTGTTCTATTTCTACTTAAAAAGAACATACAGTGGAGTCAAGACAGTCTCTTCAATAAATAGTGTTGGGAAAATTGGACAGATACATGCAAAAAAATGAAACTAGACCACCAGCTTACACCATTCACAATAATAAACTCACAATGGATAAAAGACTTAAATGTAGCCGAAACCGGTTTGGCTCAGTGGATAGAGCGTCGGCCTGCGGACTGAAAGGTCCCAGGTTCAATTCCGGTCAAGGGCATGTACCTGTGTTGCAGGCACAATCCCCAGTGGGAGATGTGCAGGAAGCGGCTGATTGATGTTTCTCTCTCATCAATGTTTCTAACTCTCTATCTCTCTCCCTTCCTCTCTGCAAAAAATCAATAAAATATATTTAAAAAAAAAAAGACTTAAATGTAAGCCAGGAAACCATAAAAATCCTACACAGCAAAATCTCAGACATCTCCCACGGCAGTATGTGTATGGATACATCTCCTAGGCCAGGGGTGGGCAAACTTTTTGACTCGAGGGCCACAATGGGTTCTTAAACTGGACCGGAGGCCGGAACAAAAGCATGGATGGAGTGTTTGTGTGAACTAATATAAATTCAAAGTAAACATCATTACATAAAAGGGTGCAAAATCTCAGACATCTCTCATAGCAATATATTTGTGGATACATCTCCAAGGGCAGTGGTCAGCAAACTGCAGCTCGGCAAACTGCAGCTCGCGAGCCACATGCGGCTCTTTGGCCCCTTGAGTGTGGCTCTTCCACAAAATACCGGCTCTTCCTTCCACAAAATACCTGCTTCTGTGCATGGGCCACGAAGTTTCAATCGCACTGTACATGCATGCCCGCACATGGTATTTTGTGGAAGAGCCACACTCAAAGGGGCCAAAGAGCCGCATGTGGCTCGCGAGCCGCAGTTTGCCGACCACGGTCCTAGGGCAAAGAAACTAAGGAGAAAACAAACAAACGGGACCACATCAAAATAAAAGGCTTCTGCACAGCAAAAGAAACCATCAACAAAACAAAAAGGGAGCCCACTGTATGGGAGAACATATTTGGCAATGATACATCTGATAAAGGGTTAATATCCAAAATATATAAGGAACTCATACAACTTAACAAAAGGAAGACAAGCCAATTAAAGAATGGATAAAGGACCTAGAGAGACACTTCTCCAAAGTGGACATACAGAAGGCCAAGAGACATGAAAAATGCTCAAAGTCACTGATCATCAGAGAGATGCAAATCAAAACCACAATGAGGTATCACCTCACACCTGTCAGAACGGCTACCAGCAACAACAAGTGCTGATGAGGATGCGGAGAAAAGCGAACCCTAGTACACTGCTGGTGGGAATGCAGACTGGTGCAGCCACTGAGGAGAACAGTATGGAGTTTCCTCAAAAATTAAATATGGAACTGCCATTTGACCCAGTGATGCCACTTCTAGGAATATATCCTAAGAAACCCAAAACACCAATCAGAAAGAATGTATGCACCCTTATGTTCATAGCAGCACAATTTACAATAGCTAAGATCTGGAAACAGCCCAAGTGCCCATCAGTGGATGAGTGGATAAAAAAGTTGTGGTACATTTATCTCATGGAATACTATGCAGCAGTAACAATGAAGGATCTCTTACCCTTTGAGACAGCATGGTGGGGCCTGGAGAGTATCATGCTGAGTGAAATAAGCCAGTCAGCGAAAGACAAGTGTTACATGATGTCACTCATATGTGGAATCTAATGAACAAATAATCTGATGAACAAAATAGATCCAGAGACATAGAAGCATAGAACACATTAGAAATCTCAGAGGGAAGGTGGGGGTGGGTGGGAAGAGATCAACCAAAACTTGTATGCATCTATGCATAACCCACGGATACAGACAGTAGGGTGGTGAAGGCCTGGGGCAGGGTGCGGGGGCGGGCTAGAAGGGTCAGTGGGGAGGAAAGGGGGACATACGTAATACTTTCAACAATAAAGATTTCACTTAAAAATACAGGCATAAATTTAATAAGAAATTGGTAATATTTAAAAAAATTATAAAATGGTAATGAAAGGCAAACACAAGATCTGGATGGCTGAGGAGGACCCATGACCCTTTGGTCCAAAGGCCAACACTAACCACTGAGTAACTGGTCAGGGATTAAGAAGCTAATGGTTTTTAGATTTACAGTATAACTTGTTTACATCCAGAGCCTGTCACCTGAGATGTCATGTCCAGTTTTTCTGTTCCTTTGGTGGCCAAGGACCATGAGGCCTTTTAATGCCAAGTAATTATTAATATTTGGACATAGCATAGTACCATTTTCTTTTACACAAATACACACAGGAGGGTAGCATGGCAGTATATTTTACTTAGAAATCTTTTGGTTCTATTAGATTGTGTGCTACTTTGGTGGTTAATGAATAGGCCCAATTCCATTTTACTGATCAGAGAAAAAAACAAGCATATTGTATTATTCCCTGGGGCTGCCATAACAAAGTACCACAGCCTGTGGCTTAAGCAACAGATATGTATTTTATTTTCTCACACTTCCAGAGGCTTGGCATCTGAAAGCAAGTTGTTGGCACAGTTGGTTTTTCCCAGAACCTTTCTTTTTTTTTTTTTTTTTTAAATATATTTTATTGATTTTTTACAGAGAGGAAGGGAGAGGGATAGAGAGTTAGAAACATCGATGAGAGAGAAACATCGATCAGCCGCCTCCTGCACACTCCCCACTGGGGATGTGCCTGCAACCAAGGTACATGCCCTTGACTGGAATCGAACCTGGGACCCTTGAGTCCGCAGGCCGATGCTCTATCCGCTGAGCCAAACCGGTTAGGGCCCCAGAACCTTTCTTATTGGCCATCTCCCTGTATCTTCACAGGGTCTGCCCTCTGTATGTGTCCGTGCCTTTATTTCCTTTTTTAATAAGGACACCAGTCATACTGGCTTGGGGTCCATCCTAATGATTAATTATCTCCTTTAAGACTGTATCTCTAATACAGTCATGTTCTGAGGTGCTGGGGGTTAGGATTTCAACATATGGATTTGGGTGGGGGGGACTCCGTTTAGCCCATAATACATGTGACTATGGTAACAGCTCTTAGAGAGAGTCAGCTTTTGACCTTGGCCCCTCCTTTGCCCCTCCCAGGTGAGCCTGCCCACGGCCGAGATCGACTGTAGCCTGGCGGCGTACATCGACATGATCTGCGGTAAGCTCTCCCAGCCCTTCCTTGTCCCGACCCGGGAGAAATGCATGAAGGGCCGTGTTGGGGCTTGTGCCACTACCTGCTGGATATTTCACTCCCAAAGCCACGGAAACACATCCCGTCGGAGGGGATCGGCTCTCCTCAGCAGGTGCCCCATAAGTCCTAGATTTTTGTGTGGTTCTGCTCATGGGAGGTCTTGGTTTCAGCCATCCTAGACATTCCTATCTACAAGAGTCGGATCCAGTCTCTCCACCTGCTCTTTTCCCTCTACTCCGAATTCAAGAACTCGCAGGTGAGTCCAGCACGAGGGATGGACTTGCAGTGAGGGCTGCTGCCGTCTCACTGTTCTGAGTCGGCTCTGATTGTGTCCTGGGACCAGGGAGGCTGTCTCTGCCCGTCCCCGTTACCCTTCCCCACAGCAGGCTGGCAGGGCTTCTAAGGAAGAGGGAGGGGAGGAGAGGTGGGCCTTCACTGAGGTTACAGAGGGCACTCATTCTTACAGGAGAGCCAAGTCGCCTATTGAACAGAAGCAGGAAGGAAAGGAAAAAGGGGTTTATTTTTATAGGAAGCAGGACAAATTTCTAGCTGTTTTTCAAAGACAACACCAAGGAATTGTTTTGAAAGTACAGTTGGGAGAAAATTGGAGCTTAAAGGGTTATAAAGAGGTTAGTTCTTGCCGAAACCGGTTTGGCTCAGTGGATAGAGCGTCGGCCTGCGGACTGAAGGGTCCCGGGTTCGATTCCGGTCAAGGGCATGTACCTTGGTTGCGGGCACATCCCCAGTGGGGGATGTGCAGGAGGCGGCTGATCGATGTTTCTCTCTCATCGATGTTTCTGACTCTCTATCTCTCTCCCTTCCTCTCTGTAAAAAATCAATAAAAATATATTTAAAAAAAAATAAAGAGGTTAATTCTTGCTAAAATGTAGCAACTAGCATATTCCAAACACTCCATGTTCCCTCTCTTTCCTCACAGCATTTTAAAGCTCTAGCTGAAGGCAAGAAAGCATTCACCCCTCCATCCAAGCCCACCTCCCAAGCTGGAGACGCAGAGACAATAACCTTCAGCTGAGGCACCTCCCGCGCACTTTGTCTCAAGGCCGAGCTGCTCCTCCAGCCCAGCGGAGGGGACGCTGTCGTCGGGCACCTGGCTCCTGGCCTGTGTCATCTGGACTCGGGCAGTGTATGCCCTGCCACCCTCCCTGCCAGGAAGCCCTGCACACTCGCTTCCTTCCTATGGGAGCTTGTACCTCTACCGCCTGGGGGATTTGATTAGACAAACTGGAATTTCTGGGACCCTGGGATGCTCAGGTTAGAAGAAAAGTTAAAAGATGTTCTTACAGCAATGGAATTATTTTCTTTCATTCTTAAGTGAGTTGGCAAAGATTTTACAAATAAAATGCTCTTATCTTTCAGGTTACCCTGCTGTTCTATCTATAATACGAGAAAGAAAAGGCAGACTGAGCATAAAGCAGAGATAAGGAATTTGGCCTAGTGATAGGCTTTCAGTGAATAATAGTTTAAGCAAAACAACTTTGTGGGATAAAATCAGCCACCAGTCCTCCAAGGTTGGCAGTGGCGGGGACCCATTTTTCTCCCAGAGCTCATGTTCCTGTGGGTCACTCTCCAGGGAATGTTGCTGCCTTAGGTCCACCTGCCTGACTAGCTCCAGGCCTGCTTGGCTGTGCCTTAGGAGCCTAGCTGTGCAGGAGTCCAGGGGAGAGATCACTGTGCCGGGGTTAGAGTGGGAGTTGTGGCAGTAGTACATGGGTAGATTTGGGAAATATTTGCGGGTTGTATCCCCCAAGCTCTAGCCAGGAAGTCAGAAACCATGCTAGTTACTTCCAACAAAGGGTGTTAACACATTTCGTACCGCATAGAAATCTCTAAGACATATGCAGGGACCACACGTTTTTGGGCAAACTGCACGTTATTTAAATCATCATAACTACAGATCATAATGCACTTTAGGTGTTGTTTTTCAATAATTATAACATTTTTATTTACAAAAACAATTAAACAATTAAAGTTCCTAGTACTTTTTTAACATATGGTACTGTGTAAAACATTTTCCTCTATGAAGAGGGACCAAACAAAATTTACATAAGTATCTAGATTCACTTCTTTTTCCATGGGTGTGAAAAACGAGAAAACTCGTGAGCGGTCCTTAACAGATGGTGCGCGAAACACAAGAAAACTCCTGAGCGGTACAAAATGTGTTAAGAGGACAGGGCAGTGCCCTGGTGTGGCTCAGGAGGTCACGGTTCGATTCCCGATCAGGGCACATGCCCAGGTTGCGGACTCGATCCCCAGTATGGGGTGTGCAGGAAGCAGCCGATTAATGATTCTCTCCCATCATTGATGTTTCTATCTCTCTCTCCCTCTCCCTTCCTCTCTGAAATCAATAAAAAATCCTATATAATAAAAGGCTAATATGCAAATTGACCAAATGGTGGAACGACTGGTCGCTATGACGTGCATGGGCCTAAGCCAGCTGTCGGACATCCCCCCAAGGGCTCCCACATTGCAAGAGGGTGCAGGCTGGGCTGAGGGACGCCCCGCCCTCCCAGTGCACAAATTTGGCACCGGGCCTCTAGTAATAATAATAAAGGATCCACTGATGCCCAGCCAGCATGGCTCAGTGACTGAGCATTGACCTATGGACCAGAGGTCCATAACAGATGGCGCGTGAAAAACGAGAAAACTCGTGAGCGGTCCTTAACAGATGGCGCGCGAAACATGAGAAAGCTCGTGAGCGGTACGAAAGGTGTTAAGTATGGGAAATTGGTTACAAAAGTATTGGAAGGGCTGAAGAAACAAAAGGGAGGGTAGAGGGTGCTGAAGGGATGCAGGTTAAAGGGGTGGCACCCACTGCAGTGCAGGGAGAGGTGCACAGTGTCTGGAGTGGCCGTGGAGGGGCCACATGAGCACGGCTGATGCGGAGACCTCGTCCCACTGCTGCAGAGAGCAATGGCTGCCTGTCCTTCCTCCCATCTTCTCACGTCTTGCCAGGGCTCCCATTGCCAGAAATTAACAGCTGGCAGGGATATCTGGAAAAACCAGCATATAAAGCATAGTATAGAAGGGAGAGGGTCGGGGTTGAGGCAACAGAGAAATAACCAGGAGAGGAAGAACCGACAAAATGTGGTGAGAGGTTGGATGTGGGAGGTGAAAGGGAAGAACCGAGGATGACTCCCGGGTTTTGGGCTTGAGGAACCGGATAATAGGGGAAGGTGGGGCAAGAATTGATTGAGGGAAAAATTACATTAAAATGCTAGACTGTCTGCCTAACATACATGATAAACCACATAGAAAGGAGGGGAGTCATTTCTTAGAATCCTAACCAACTGTGAGGCTCACATTATGCTGGAATGTGAGGAGCGGGGCTTTGGAGCTCAGGCCTCCCCCTGACACCGGGTCTGCACCAGGGCTGCGCTCTCGGTGGATTTCATTAATGCTCACACTTAACTCATCGGGAAAAGAGAAGCAAAATGTGATGGGAGCTCAGATTCTCCACTAGGTTTTAGGGAACAGTCAGATTGGCTTCTTTGGCTAGAGCTGAGTGAGACTCCGCACTGATAGATAGAGTTGCTTTCTGTCATTCATGGTAGTTCTGTTCTGTAAGTCGCCATGAACACTGAATTAACAAATACTGAACCATTGCTCCTGGGGAAATACGGGGTTAGATTCCTTTGTGCCTCTGGTCGCAACATTTTCATCTGCCAGCCATTGGTTCATTGAGTTCACAGCCACCAGCACTTGTCCAGTGAAACTTGTCTCACACTCTCTCCACCAGGCACATCACATCCTTACACTTAGGAACACTAGACAGCCGCTCGGAACCATGCCCGGGGCCGTTTCAAACCGTAAAATCATTGGCTAGACCTTGACAAGGGCCCTGCTTACAATGTGAGAGCTGGAGCCAGGGGCCCTGGGGGCCTGGGCAGCCTCTAAGTTTCACTGCTGTGAGCATGTTTGCAGATAATCACGAAAACACTGCACACATTGGCTTTGAGGTTGCAAATAAAGTATAGCGTGTGTGTGAATTCACAAATATGGAATCTTCAAATTATGAGGATCAACTGTACCTCCTCCCTAACTTACTGGTTAACAGGTAGGCCTTCTAGCTTTTCTCCCTACTTCAGCACACCCACCCACCATAGCTCTCCAGTGATCATCTTCAGACAATGTTTTCATCATGGGCTCCTCTCTTCTCTTTAACAATCTGTAGTTACTCCCTTTTGGCTTGCTCTGTGGCCTGGGGAAAATCAATTTAACTTCTATGCCTCAGTTAATCTATCTATGAATCAGTTACAATAAACACTAACAGCCCTAGCCGGTTTGGCTCAGTGGATAGAGCGTCGGCGTGCAGACTGAAGGGTCCCATGTTCGATTCCAGCCAAGGGCACATGCCTGGGTTGTGGGCTCAATCCCTGTAGGGGGCGTGCAGGAAGCAGCCAATCAATGATTCTCTCTCATCATTGATGTTTCTATCTATCTCTCCCTCTCCCTTCCTCTCTGAAATCAATAAAGAAATATATTTTAGCCCTGACCGGTTTGGCTCAGCGGATAGAGCGTCGGCCTGTGGACTCAGGGGTCCCGGGTTCGATTCCAGTCAAGGGCATTGCGGGCACATCCCCAGTGGGGGGCGTGCAGGGAGCGGCTGATCGATGTTTCTCTCTCATCGATGTTTCTGGCTCTCTGTCCCTCTCCCCTCCTCTCTGTAAAAAATCAATAAAATATATTAATATATATATTAAACACCCACAAATCATAGTCTTGTCCTGTGAATAAAAAACATGAAAACATTACGTGCCACAAAAAGTGAGATATAATAATTCTATTACTAAGTATACAGTTTCAACTTGGCCTTTTAGACTTTCCACTGGGCTAGTCTCTTCGTACCCCAAAGTCCTCACATCCCATAATTCCCCACTGTGAACTACAATCCCAGGCACTTGCCATGACTCATACGTTCCCACCTCTAACCAACCTCTATGCAGGCTCTGTTCCTGGCTTGAAGTGTCCCTCACCTCTGCCAATCCTAGGTTCTCAGCACTTCCAAATAAACAAACGTAAAACAAATATTTACATCTTCATTTCCTCCTTTCACCTTATTTATTAAAATGACAATATAGGAATAAAAAACTCCCAAACAAGGACAAATAGTAAGAAAAAAAGTTACAGCAGACAAAATAGCAACAATTTTTTAAAGCTTTTTTTTAATGTTTCAATTACAGTTGGTATACATTATTATATTAGTTTCAGGTGTATACTCCAGTGATTAGACATTACATGACTTACTAAGTGATCATCCCAAAAAAACTCACACCCATCTGATACCACACTTAGTAATGAGAATATTATTAACTATATTCCCTATGCTGTACTTTACTTCCCCATGACTATTCTGTAACAACCAATTTGTACTTCTTAATCCTGTCACCTTTTTAAAAATATATATATATTTTGATTTTTTACAGAGAGGAAGGGAGAGGGATAGAGAGTTAGAAACATCAATGAGAGAGAAACATTGATCAGCTGCCTCCTGCATACCCCCGACTGGGGATGTGCCCACAACCAAGGTACATGCCCTTGGCCGGAATCGAACCCGGGACCCTTCAGATCTGGCAACCCTCAAAATGTTCTCTGTATCTATGAGTCTGTTTCTGTTTGGTTATTTTGTTTTTTAGATTCAATTGTTAATAGATATGTATTTTTTTGCCATTTTATTGTTCATATTTTTTTATCTTTTTCTTCTTAAAGAAGACCCTTTAGCATTTCTAGTAATACTTGTTTGGTGGTGGTGAATTCCTTTAATTTTTTTTTTTTTCTCTGGGAAGCTCTTTATCTGATCTTTGATTCTAAATGAGAGCTTTGCTGGGTAGAGTCATCTTGGTTGTAGGTCTTTGCTTCTCATCACTTTGAACATTTCTTGCCAATCCCTTTTGGCCTGCAAAGTTTCTGTTGAGAAATCAGCTGACAGTCTTATGGGAGCTCCCTTGTAGGTAATGAACTGTTTTTCTCTTGCTGCTTCTAAGATTCTCTCCTTGTCTTTAATCTTTGACATTTTAATTATGATGTGTCTTGGTGTGGACCTCTTTGGTTTATCCTGTTTGGGACTTTCTATGCTCCCTGGACTTGTATGTCTATTTCCTTCACCAAGTTAGGGAAAATTTTCTGTCATTATTTATTCAAATTGGTTTTCAATTTTTTGCTCACTCTCTCTCCTCTTTCTGGCACCCCCATGATGTGAATGTTGGTTTGCTTGAAATTGTCCGAGGCTCCTTATACTACCTCATTTTTTTTGGATTCTTTTTCTTTTTGCTGTACTGATTGAGTGATTTTTGCTTCCTTATAATCCAAACTAGAGGCCCGGTGCACGAAATTCGTGCAGGGGGTGGTGGTGGTGTCCCTCAG